TTTTATAATTTCAACACAAATGTAGAAAATAGTCGTAACTATTTAAATAAATCAAGCAGTAGATCTAGACGCTCTAGTAAGTAGTAAGTAAATTTCTAAAGTCTAAATACTCTACTATTTACTAATGGAATGAATATAAAATATGCAATGAGACCAATTGTAATTTATTTTTCTGTGCCAATGTATTTATAGAGAAGTAATGGTAGATGAGCTATAAGCCTACTAGATAGCGCTAGGTGTCCCACATGTACCTATTGAAAACATTTGGTATATAGCCCTCTACCAAATATGAGTCTCCAGCCTTTGTTACCAATCCTGTATATCTAAAGGCGGGTTCACACCACGGACTAAGATAAACAGGACTGGAAACTATAGACGGGAGGAGTGCGGGTAGCCGGAACCATAGTGTAACGCTTGTAGTACATGGACAAATGTGGCTCTATCTATTGATAATATTTAGCATTTGTTACACATATATTTATTTGCATATTATTTTTGTTTTATAATGTGGGGCGACAATCCAAAACGTACTATTGCCAAAATTGAAGAAATTGAGTTACATAATGATTCTTATAGAAATTAAGGCAGGGAATCGAATAGTGCAATCAAATTGTGACAAAACGTACCTACTATTTCCCTTGTTAAAATCAATCTGAAACTCATAAATGATGCAAAACGCACTATTTCCAAAGCCAAAATTTGTCTAAATGCACTATTTCCAAAATTACGTCAAAACGTAGTATTGTCAATGTTAAATAGTTTGTTTATTGACAAATTGACGCAAAACTTACCAATTCCTCGAATTGTACAAAACGTACAATTTCCAAAGTAGGCTCATATGTACTATTTCCCTAGTATGAAGATAGGAATATAATTGAATTGAATAAATAACGTACTATTTCCAAAATCGTGGAAAAATAGAAAATCGTGATTTCTCAAAAAAGTGTAAAATGGAAATAGTACGTTTTATATTGTCGACCCACAATTAGGTACAATAGTTTAATACATTTATACCACGGACTAAGATAAACTAAGATAACTCTATTGTGACTCTATCTTAGTCCGTGATTTATGCGCACCTATTAGCTCTTAGGTAAATTAGCATTTAGTATTTAATGTACATTACATTTTACCGCAACTATATTATCCATTAATATAATTATTAATTATTTATTAATTTTTTATTCGCTAAAATGCCGAGAAAATGCTCTGTGGATGGCTGTACGGGATCTTCAGAGAGGAAAACTTTATTTAAAAGTCCAAAAGATGTGGTTAATTTAACCGCTTGGAATGAAGCAATTTCAAATGCCAATGGTCGAAATTTTCCATTTTTGTGTATTAATTAGTTAATTAAAATATTTCTAGGAAAAACGTATTCAAGCAAATCTGAAGCAGCTTTTACTAACCTTAAATCAAAGGGAAAATTAATTCATCCTAATGAACATTTTTATAGATTAATTGTAGCAATAGAAAATTCTTTTTCAAAAAATTGTAATAAGATGTCAGTATTTGAGGACACTTTTGATGATGTTCTGGATAATAACGCCGGATTATTAATATTTCCTTGTAGTGAACATAAAAATGAAATTTTAATGTTTATCCTCAAGTACTATATTACAACAAGAATGCGACAATATTCCAATATGGAAAATAAAAACCAACAAAAAATAAATTCAAAGAAAAAGAAGTCTGCTAAATTAGTTATTACTTAAGTCTTAATTGCTTTTAATTTAAAATTATTTTCAACAATAATTTAAAATTGAATCAATACAGTGTATACTATGTACTTTAAACAACAAATTTATTTCAGTTAGATATATAAGCAAAGATTATTAAAGAATTAATAAAAACTTACAAGTTACAAGGATATATTTATTTTTTTTTATTATACTGTAACGAATAATGGTGATCTACACTGATGTATTAATATTTCGTAGAATGGATCATAGATGGCGTTAAAATCGCCCTTGTACCAGAAGCGTTACACTGTAGTTCACGGTTTAAGATAGTATGGTTGCAGTCACGGTTTAAGATAGTATGGTTGCGTAACGAAACGAGAAAAAGTGTGTTGTGAATGTTCTTACCAAATACCTACGATCATAGAGCGCTCCCAGCGGATCTATATACTATTAACTATATACTATTGTTCTATGATATTACCTAAGATAATCTAATTTAGCCGTGGTTATAACTGTGTTATTATAATTATTAGTTATTACTTATTTTTTTTTATTCACTAATAAATTTCAATATTAATTGTACAAAAAACAAAATGTTCTTGAAAGAAACTCTTTATTAAGTAATTTAAAATATAAAACAACTATGTGGGTACTAATTTAGATAACTTTTTTTTTGCTTTATTTATTTGCTTAGATTCAATATTTTTCATGTAAGAATACTGCCTCATTCTCATTACAATATATTTTTTATTTATCAAGGTTGCAATCATCAATATTCGTCATTTTAATTTTAATTTTATTTAATTGACTTTTCAAATTCATAATTTTGTTATTTGCTAGGTATAATTTGTTTCGTACAACAGTTTTAGATTTTGTAAGTCTTTTTACACTAAATGTAGTTTTGGATGCATCATGAGGTGCATGTACACAACAGATATACATTTTAACAAAATGTCAAAATAATGTCAGTAACACATAAGAGTACATAAATCATTTAAACAAAATATCAGTATTTATAGCTCAGTTAAGAGCACGACTATCTATAAGTACCTACATTGATATTATGAATAATTATGATTTATGGAAATGATTTTCTTTTTGGCGGCATTTTTTGAATATCAAATAATTATAATATAATATATTTATATATAATCACGAATTAAAATATACTGGATACCCAACGATACATGATAAGACGCTCCTAAACTGACTTTCAATGTGCAAAGGTGCACTAGCGCTCCAACGGAATTAAATGTATACTAATGGATTGACTATTTAAAATTTAAAATATTATATTATTATGCATAAAGTATAAATAACAAATAATATGATGATTTTTTCGAATGATTAATTTAAAACATTCAAGCATTTCCTTATTACTGACTACTGTAGTCTGCAATATAATAATTAATAGGTACCATTCTAATTTCTAATTATTCAATATTCTACTATGACAAAATAGATTAATAAAGTGTTAAGTGGAAGGTAAGTAGTATTAACTAATAGCATAGAACAATAGGTACCTAGTAAAAGAAAAATACACATTTAATTATTTAATGAATATCAATTACATCTTTTTTATTACATAGTACATATAATTTTACATATTTATTAATATAGATACCCAATACAAATTGCATAAAATACTTACAAAATTATTAATTACATACCTATACAGTTGAAACTTCAATTAAATTAGTCAACAAATCATGTTTTAACTAATTTGGATAATTTTTTTTTGTTTTACTTTGTTTTTTTGAGTTTTGATTCATAAAGTAAGAATACTGCCTCATTCTCATAGTTATATAATATGAAAAAATATTTGTTAATATATCAGCTTGATGTTCTAAGCAAGGAAACTTTAAACCAATATTCAAGCTAAAAAATTCATTATATGTATCTTCAAACACATCACAAGAAGTGGCATGTTTTGAAAAACATGTTTCAAGATGTTTTAGTATTAAGTATAAATTTCGATCTGGATGAGTTAGGTATCCTCTAGTTTTATTATTAAGTAAATCAGCTTCACTACCGACAAAGTATTTAAATTTTTTATACTTACTATACATAACTGGCACTTAGTACTCTTTACCAATCGTTTAGCAATGTACCTATTTGAAGTAGGTAAATAAGGTAAATAATAGTGTTATTTAATTAATGCTATTACCTAATTCATAAAATATTTTACCCAGCCATAAAATAAACAACACAGTCAAAAACTGTAGAGTCTGCGTAATCATGCTCAAACAAAAAAATATTTTGAATTAATGAAAAATGGCCAAAATGGGAAATCTATTACAGTTATAAACACGAATTAAGATAAACATCTATTTTAATTCTTGGTTCTAAACAATGTCCAATGATAGTAATTAACATGACGAATTGACGAATCTATTTTGTCATGGTAATTTATTTAATTCCAAATATTTACAAATTTGGCGGTAAATTATTTTGTAAAAGTTGCCACAAATATGATAACAAGCGCTAGGTGTAGTTTGCAACAGCTGTTCTGACAAGTCAGTTTGGGTCCAAGAAAAATAGTTGTTCATATAGGTCGTTGGGTATCCAGTATATTTTAATTCGTGGTAAGAACATTCACAACACACTTTTTCTCGTTTCGTTACGCAACCATACTATCTTAAACCGTGCTGTAGTTCCATAGATGACTATCTCGTTTCCAGTCCTGTTTATCTTAGTCCGTGGTTCACACTACACCGTGTCGTGTAATATAATCACGGTTACCTCAGTAAACGATACCGCATAGTTGAATATATTCAACTTTTGACCGTGTAGTGTGATTGTGTGAACCCCCCTTAAGTCCGTGGTATTGTGTACAGAAATCAGACATTCAGACTATCTAATATCTATAGTCTAAAATCTATATGCATTATTGCATTAAGCACGGACATGAATATTAAATACATGATTTAAAGATAATATACATTGACCACAGTCCACGGATCACCGACAGCACGTCGCGCGTCGTAGTAAGACATTAAGATAATAAGATATCTAGTCTGTGACCAATAACAATTATCAATATTTAATATAAATATTATAAATTTAATATTACTAATATAGGTACTAAATAGTAAATAGGTACTAACATTAGTATGATTATTATTTATTACTATTAAATAATATAAAGTATGATTATATGATTATTTAAGTAATAAACTAATTAAGTATTTTGTATTGCTTATCTTGTTGAAAGGTTAAAACAAACTTACACAGTTACACTTTGAAATAATTTGTGATTTTTTAAAGCCTTGCTTAATCGTTAGTTTGTGTTGTTCAATATAATACAATTAATTTCTCTGAATGGATAAATTTCACGATGCTAAGAGCTTTACTTCTTCAAGTAAAAAAAATTCCAATGAAAAAGTAAGTCATGACATTATGGTTAGATATTAATTGCGTACAAATGTACACTTTATATTTTGTAACTATTGATAGTTGATGGCTTATAATATTTATCCAATTATTAAAATAACAATGATCAAATAAGATGTGTTTTGTCAGGAAACCTAAATTCTTATGTTTAGCTATTATAAATAAAAAACATTAATATCATTATTATTTTTAGAGCGTTGATGCAGATTCTATGATTAAAAACATCATCTCTCAAGACACATTTGTTGTAAATAAAGACCATCAATTATATTCGGTAATCATATTATTAAAATAATAATAAACATTAAGAAGACACCATACCCACATTTGTTGTCTCCGGCTTACAAGTGGGTAATATCTCAAATGTACATTTAGCTTTGTAGCTACCATAGGCGCAAATAGGAGGGGGGCTAGGGGGCTTTAGCCCCCCTTGGAGTTTCTATAGCCCCCCCAAAAAACTAATGATTTCACTAATATAATTTAAAAGCATCATAAGAGTTTCAAGTATAGACATGAGCTTCAGCCCCCCCCAAATTTCAAACACTATTTACGCCAATGGTAGCTACGTTAGTTTTAATATTAGTATGAACTGACCTATCATCAAACGTAAAGGTAAGAACCTATATGTGTCTGATTTCAATTTTTTACAATATTATATACTCATACGTTGCTTAATAATTGAAAGATCATAAAAAACCGACACACAAACACAGAAATTATTATATTAAAGTTTGATAATAGTTCAATTTGCTCTAATATTAAAACTATTGAACCACTAAGAATCAATTTGATATGAACTCACTTATAAAAATTAGACAAGAAATGCGGGTAACTGGTGTGACATTCTTTTAAGATTAGAATTACTTAATAACAATTTTGTGATTGTTATGACATGATAAAATCAAACTGTCTAATTCAATTCTAATAAATATCACAAATAATTTGATCATTTCAATGGTCGGTCTTTATCTCAATGATTACGTTATTTGTACTGGAGAATTCAATAATATACTTTTTTTTAACAAGTTATATTAGTTTAATGGTGCATTTAGTGTGTACTTATAAAGATTTTATTTAAAAGTAAGTATTGAACCAGTATCAAGTAAACTAAAATGGTCTTAAACTGTTTTTAATTGTTTTTACAGAATTTGCCAAAATGGATGATACCAAAATCTGGTTTTGTGCACCCATTGTATGAGCAGATTTGGCAATATGTGAAATCTGATAGACGTGATAGAACTTGTGATACTCATTTAGTTTCACAGTTATTGATGACTAGTGGTCTACCTGTTGATGTACTGGGTCGATTATGGTCTATGGCTAATGTTGGTGTTGAAGGATCATTATCTCAACAAGAACTTTACATAATTCTGGCCTTGATTACACTGGTTCAGGTAATATTATTACTGAATCTAATGTAGGTTAATGGCACACATACGCTTTTAGTGGTAGCAGACAATTGCGACCTATAATATACTATGAGGAGCATATAAATTAAGCATATAACTCAAATGTCACAGACACACAGAATATTTAATTTTGGCAAATGTCCTAGTCTTTGAGTGGCAATTTACTGAATACTAATATCAGAGAATTGATATAATTCAATATTTTCTAAAAACTATTTAATTGATAAATGAGACATTTTTTTTTGTTTTAGAATGGATATTCAGTGTCTAATGTGTCATTGTTGCAACATATTCATAAACCAATAATACCACAATTAAATTATACAATTATCGAGAAAAAATATAATGTGTCAACAGTGAAATCAAATATTGAACATAAGCCACAACAACTAGCAAACAAGGCAAGTTTCATATCAAAAATTAATGATGAACATCAAAATATTTATGCTAAAAACTTTCAACAGCCAAACTGTAACATCATTCCATCAGAAGAATACGACCCTTTAGCAGTAACATTCATAGAACCAAAAAATCAAATGTCTAAAATTATGTCCCCATTATCTACTAATCCTGAACCAAAATCTTTAGACTTTGCTCCAGTTAATGATAGTTTTGAGACATTTGATGATGAGTTTTCAGATTTCCAATGTGCTCAATTTACGATCACTGACAGTAAAAATAATCAAGAATTTACAGATTTCCAATCAGCTTTTGATACATTGTCTTTTAAGGAAACCACTAAGATTATTGATAAAACTGCTAAAGTGTTAAATGACACATCAGCAGATGTTGTTTCAAATTTGTTTGAAAACCAACAAAATGTGATTACTAGCGAAGATGATATTCTTGATAAATATGAAGTATTTCGAACTTTGGCTGCAGAAACTGATGATGTTAAAAATATCATAAACAAAAATAATCATAATGATTTTTTGGAAGTAAAACCTGTTGAATGTATTAAAGATAATGTTAAAAATGATGTTTATGATGATGAATTTGGAGATTTCTTATGTGTTGAGGAAGTTTTAAGCAATAAACCTGACATTGAAGTGGATTGGAAAAACGTACAAGTATGTATTTTTCAATTTTATAACAAAGGTGATATTTATATATTTTTTATACATTTTTGCCGATTTAATGAAGTTTAGTTAATTCTTCACAAAAATAAAAATGTTTTTTTTTTGGTCTGTTTTGCCATCTCTCATTTATACAATATATTTGTATAGGTACAATGCATAAATAAATGTTTGGAGTTTTTGCTAGAAGGTTTCACTACATTTTCAAGCATATCTGATGAGAAAGTACTTATGGAAGTTTTAACTCACAATAAAGGGATTAACTATATGATACGTATGCATAAATAAATTTTGTATTACTTGAAAATCAAACTTTTAAATTATTTTGATATGAATGTTTTAGAATTGAATTTAATAAGTCAAATTTGTCAGCGAATACTTAAAAGCTGTTATTGTCCATCATTAGAAGATAGATTAAATGATGTGTTGTCTAAATTGGAAACATACTTAAATAATTGTACATTTAAATCAACTAATACTATAGAGGTAAATTCAATAATTTGTACATAACAATAAAATATATTTTAACTATCTGAAAAAACTAGGTTTTAGGTTCAACAAAGGATTTCATACCATGTTACTTATGCAAATGCAATTGCAGTACAGATTCTACTGAATACATGCTAAACCTCTACCACTCATCTTGTATAAATTTATTGATGAATTTTGTTCAAACGTCTCACCTTTCTGTTAAGTAATACATTTTTATTTATTTTATTTACTTACAAGACCAGACCTCTTTTCTACAAACATCTTAGCCCTACAGTTATGTAAATTGTAGTAATTATTTTTTATTTTATTTATTGAATTGTTATTTTATTATTATATTTATTAAAGACAATGTTACTTTTATTATTCATAATTATTAAATATGTTTATTCCATCATTATATTATTCAATAAAATTATACTCATTGAAGAAATCAATATTTATAATTTATTTTTTGGGTAAAAATACATTGTATAATAGTATAAATAATTATAAATAAACAGTAAATATAGAATACACTTATAAAATAATAAAAACTATTAAATAGTATTAACTACAAATAAATAAAAAAACTATTAACAAACTATGTATAAAATATATAGAGCATCTAAAAATAATACATAACATATAGATATTTAACTATGTTACAGACATTACAGTTTAGTAATTTGAAATAAAGCAGTACATTTAAATTGAACAGATGCTAAAATTAGATTAATTCTTGTAGCTTGGCGTGGAGCGTTGGCCCCTACCAGTCGCGGAACTCCACTGGGAGTAAGTAACGGCCACAGCTACTACAGGATGGGTGACCACCCGGGTTCATAGTAGTTAAAAACCTTGCCACACATACATGTGTTTGCTATCTACCGTAACAACCTTAAACAATGGTAAAAACAATACCAACCTTACCCCTACCACAGTTCATAACTGGGCTTAAGTTCTTTAAAAAAAAAAAGATTAATTCTTAACGCTCAAATAAAAGAAAATATCAAAGAATATAATGACTGCTAATAATTACACTGGGTATATTATATTATGTTCTATAGTATAATTATTTAAAGGAATCAGTCAGAATAAGAGTTATTTATAACCTGTGGAAATAAATATTTTTTTTTATTTTTCATCCTCTTCCTCAACAGATTTTTCCTCCTTAGATTCTTCATCTTTTTTTAATAGTAAAGGAAACATCCCCAAAAAGCAACCTAGAGTAACTCCGAGTGTTCTTCCCTAATAATAATAATAATAATAATAATAATAAGAATTAATACAAAATTTAAAACTATGAAGTATGTAAATACTAAAACCAAAGTATAAATGATAAAAGAATAATTTCTTATTTTAAATAAAAATGACATTGTTACCTATACACTTTTCATTTTCAGAATACAATAAATGTTTATTGAAATTTACAAAAAAAAATGTCGTGTAATATAAATTGTAAATAGTAATTATTTTTTAACAAAAATGCTTGCACATTCTAATAAAATTATGCTTTAATTATAAATCCAAAATAGATATTTCTAACTTGTATTTAAATGAAGAACTTATTAAATTGTCAGTCAATACTTTTGGTTTAAAATATTTTTAACCTTACTAAATTAGCAGCTCGTCTACTACAATTCATATCCAATTGAATAGGTGTTAGATTTGGAGGTTTTAAGCCAAGTTTGATTACCAATTGTTCCACATAATATGAAGAGCCAATTCCAAGAATATCAGAGAAAGTATTACCAATTGCAGCTGCAGCCATTGTTGATATAGTAATTACAGCACCAACCGTTCTTTCAATTGATTCACCCTAAAAAATGAAGTATAGTCATAAACACATAAATATTATATACTAATAGTAGCAAGTAATTGTTTTCATACACATATTAACATCACTGAGTTGTCCAAAAATCCAAACATAATAAAAGGAATAGCATTTTGCAATCCCACTGTTGAAGAAAAAAATTGATCAAATAACAACATTAATTTTAAATAAGTAGGTATTTATTACTTACCTCTAAATAATTGTGCTCTAGTTGGTTCTGGTACAGTTTCCGCTAATTTAAATTAAATATTAAACAGAATTAACATATAAATGTAACTTATAAAAAAAATTTTTAATTAATACAATTGTTAATATTTAGTTTATCTTACTATTAGTTTCTTCTATCCATTGTAAGAAATAAATAATATTTAGAACATAATTATTAGTATTAAAATGATGAATTAACAATATATAATTTAATATTATAAAATGCATTTAGTATAAATGTTAAGTATGTAGTTACCGTATTTTTTTAACAGCCATTCTTCTGGCAATGGACAGTAAGAGCCTGTTGGATCTACATCTCCTAGTTCAGGTACTTTACTGGGGCGTCCAAACTTTGAACGCCATCTGAACCCAGCCAATTGACCTATAGGTCAGTATAGACGAGTTATGTTTATTTCAATACATATAGTAAGTAAATGTAAAGCATTTTTTACTAGGTATCTAGTAAATAGATCTATGTTTGATGAAAAATGTTAGTCCAATTTTAGCTTTAAAATAGGAATTAAAAAGAAATGGATTTTGAAAGTATTGTATAAAGATTTCATGCAAACAGCCCACAACATGATAGCCTTAGAAGGTACTGAACCTCGATATTCTGCTTTGGTCTCTTCCGATTCGTAATGATTTAAGCACCAAGCTAAATTGTCTCTTTCTTCGTTTGTCAAATTCATTACTAAGGTTTGAGCCTTTTCTTTAGTTAATGATTTATTGTCATCCTGATCAGAGTTTGAAATTGCTGCTGTACATAGTCGACTAGCCATAGTGACATTTTTTGTATGGCTGAATTCCCACACACATAAGGCATTTTTCCACATTTTATTTGATATTGAACACATTTTGAATTAGAACTCCAAAACTTTTAAAGTTATTCAGTTAAATGGATTTGAATATTACTAATTAATTTAATTCCAAAAAAATTTCGAAGTATAATAGGACTGTAGTATATATTTCAGTAAATAGTAATTAGTACAATAATATCTAAATATCTAATGGTAACTCGAGTAACTATAATATTACAAATTAATAAATTACGATATTAAAATATAATCGTCACTACTCACTACCGACTAATCACTATTAAGTATGAAGTATGAACAAAAATATAGTAATACTATTATCGTAGTAGTTAGAAGTTATAACTTATAACTATGGAATTCTATGTTATAACTAACGATAAACAAGTAAGTAGTAAGTACTAAATATAGTAACGAGTTCATATCGTCATCACCCGATGGCCGACACCTACCCACATAGACTTGTATAAACTATAAAGTAATAAAGTATAAACATTGATTAAATATAATATATATAATATATATATATATATGCAAACGGCCCACAGCCCCACCCACCCAGCCACCACATCAAAATTCAAATCAATACTTGATAATAATAATAATCTATACCAAGTTCAGTTTTCGTTACCAAAATAGTCCAATACCACGGTCGATAAATATCAAGGAGGTTGGTATGGTTTACACCACAATTAAAGATAATAATGTACAGGTTTCAGATTGATTTGCAAAGTGACTATATAAAACAGCTGTTAATAATTAACCACTAGCGCTTGATGTCAACACTCAACCATATGTGTCGACATTTAGAACTAATTTTACACCTATAATCTAAATATCGGTTAATTGTAAAGCGGCCTCTAGACGATCAATAATATTGTCAATATTTGTATCAATAATATTGACGGAACCATATTGAAGCAAGTATTGATCGTTTAGAAGGATATTGATATGGATTGTCAATCATTGAGAGAGATTGATAGAAATTTTGATTGATGCTCATTGACGGGCAAGATTGACAGGACGTATTGAACGTCTAGAAGCGTTTATTGTCAATATTTCCGAAATTTAAGTGGCCCATACATTATTGTCAATATTTCCGAATGAGTATTGATGGCTGTGTTTGACGAGCTGATTGACGTACATTGACGCGGGTGTCAATCTAACTCGTCAATATTATTGACAATATTATTGATCGTCTAGGGGCCGCTTTACACTGCCATTTGGGGAGTGCTACTGGTTAATTTTTGCTATACATTATAGTCATTAATTCATTCACGCCTTATCAGATGCCGATGGGCAACCTGTAATTTATATATTCTTTAATATTCATGATCTTCGTATTCATAATAATAGATAACATTATCATCTAAAATATCATAATATACTATATACAGATACTAATATTATTATTTAGATTCTACTGTGATCAAAATATATTTAAAATATTCAAATTTTTCAAAACAAAAAGTAATAAAATATCGCTTGTCGCTTGTCTCTAATCGCCATCTGCATTTAACTTTAAACTTTTGCTTAATTTACTCGTTTCACTCATTTATTGATAAGTTAAACTTTTTCAAACGATCCGCGTACCGCGATTGGTCAAGTGTCTTCAATTTCCATTTTTACTTTTGGTCTACGATCTACTGTATTAATTTTTACTGCTAGGCGTGTCGTATTGATATATTATGTTAATATAGGACCATAATTTCGAATAAAAAAACTTATACACGATGACAGGCGACAGATATTATTGTAATTACGGGGCAGTCATTATAAAACAAACCAGAAAGACTGACTTGGACACCCACTACATAGTACCAGCAAAAACAGCAGACTTTACACACTTAATTTGTAATATTAATATGTTTTGATTGTTATTGACGTTTTGCAATCACGGTGTGGTTAGTAATTTTTTGAGTTGAATAAAATTTAAATTACCTACTTGTTAATTGGGCCCTTGTTGACTGCCTTAGTAGGGCCGTTATAGATAGCCGTGTCATAAATATTGTAATTTTTATGTGCTAATATGCGTATGACTGCACTAGTTATATCACATTTTCATGATATATGGTATGTTTTTAAATAAATTGTGTTTATTTTGTAAATGATTTTCATTTATATTTTTTCCAACTACCTATTAGTGTCTATTATATAATTTTCTGTTAATTTTGTCCATTCCTATGTGCATTGGTCTTTTCTTAGTTATGAGCCAAACTATTGCATTATTAAATATATATCTATTTTTTTTATCCTGTGTTTGATGATTTAAATGATTTGTTTAGTTACAGAATGAAAATTAATTAATATTGACTCATTTTATTTGAAATGGAAGCACACCAAATAGATCAAGAAAAACAATCTTTAATGAACATATTAGAATCACTAGATCTGGGTTCATCTGAAGTATTTATTACTTTCTATGATTATATTATATTTTATAAATTATTATAGTTTGTAATTATTTTTTTTTAGTTTGATGACACAGAGTTCAATATTCCTAAAGTCAATGATATTCCTACTGTCGAAAGTATATTAAATGATGAAGATGTTTCTTTATTAAGTGAAGATGATGTAACTGTCTACCAGAGCAAAGTAAATTATATGCAATCAAATTATCCCTTATAACTTGTTATATATTACTAGGGCTCGGATTTAAATGCCCTAAAAATATCAAAAAAATGCCCTTTCAAGAAATGCATTTATGACCTAAAAACTCTAAAAAATATCAAAAAATGACGTTTCAAAAAATGCATTATTTATTAAATAAATTCAAATTTAATTATTATTAAAAAATGAGGAACAAATAAAATTCTAATAAAAATTATAAATTATAAATTAATAAATTATATTACAATGTAAAAAAAAAAATTTAAATTAAAAATTAAATTATATTTGCATTGCATTGTACAATAAGAATTTCTTTAATGTTTTGGAATTTAAATGATCGACGGTTGTCTGCCAATAAGTCATAATACGACAAATAGGTCAAAAATGTCCTAAAAAATTAAAAAATGCATTAAAACCGTCAAAAAATGCCAAAAAAAATTATTATGGTTGGATTGCGAAGTACTTGAAACATATTTGTAGCTTGGAAAGCATCGTGTAAGATATCCCCAAAAAAAGATGCAAATGCATTGAAATCCTAGCCCTATATATTACATACTATTACTAGCTATAATTAATAAGCATTTAATGAAATGTAGGTACATTTTTAAACATTTTAATACATTAATTTAACCATACCTAATAATTCAATTAAGTACTATAATAATGAATTAATATTTTATTTTAGTTAAAAGTACCATGGTATGATTCAGGAGCTGATTCTGCTTCATTAGGTAGCTCAAGTAGCAGTCATATGAATACAGAACAGTTACCAAAATGTTTAAACTTAAAATCCGATCCTGGACGAATTTTACGGCATACAATTCTGAAGCCTGTTTCTAATCAAATGCATTCTTTTTGTGTAAGTTTATTAAGTTTACTTCGTCTTTTAAAAAAAAAAATATGGTTAAACGCATTTGAAGTATTTACATATTTGTATTAGGAACGTTTTGATGCTGGACAACCTAGTGCTATTAAGTTTTCACTTCTTATTGCCATTGGTACAAGCAAAGGTTTTATAATTTTATTTGATTCTTTACAAACATTCCAATGGTATCATGAAGCTGTAAATTGTGGTGCAGTATCTGCAATAGATTTTAATCACGATTGTTCTCGATTAATTGTTGGATACATAAATGGAACAATAATAGTGTTTGATTCTTCTTCTACTACTTGTAAAACACTAAGGGTTATGAATGATTCACATACTCCAGGTACTACGGTGTTGCACATAAAAGTGAGTATTAAATAAAACTACTTTTGCTAAGCATGTCTTAATTTTATTGACAAATTTAAAGTTCCTTTCCATAATTTATATTGTATTCATACATTTTAATTTTAGTTCTCAGATTTGCCAAATTTAGCTATTGTGAACAACAGTGCTGGTTCTGTGTTTGAGTTAAATTTTAAAAGAAATTTTGGAATACGTAGTGTCGAATCAAAATGTTTATTTTCTGGTGGCCGTGGAAAAGTGTGTTGTATTGAACCGTTATTATTCAATCAATTAGCTAGTCATCCTATGAATGGTTATGTAATAATTGCAATGGCTACTTTATCTAAAGTAAATTTATAATTATTTGTAGGCTACTTGCAAAAGCAATAAATTATGTATATGTTGACAAAAAATGATTTCAAATTTAATTTTAAGGTAATCATTGTTACAATTCGGCCAAATACTGAACTACTGTTATCAAATAATATAACTTCATCTCGTCCATGTTTACCATTACTATCTTGGCAGTTTGTCATTATACAATTTAATAAAACATCCAATTCAAGCCATAGAATTATGGACCCAGTATTGGCTTTCACGCGAGATGATACAGTCTATTTTTACCAGGTTACTTTTTTTAATATGATTTTCAAATGTTTACTTAATAAATATTTTCATTCAATAATATTAGGTCAATATCAATGATCAAGATGGTCTATGTTGTTGTATTTTACAAAAAATAAAATTATCATACACAATATTAGCATGCAGCTGGATGAATGCTCGCACTCTATTGACTATGGACTCATCAGATAAAGTATATCTTGTTGATGTTCGTGTAGGAGATGAAATGGAACAGTCAGATCTTTTAAACATTTCCTTAGTGTACACTTCTAACTACTATAATGGCACAAATAGTCAACATTTAGTAAGTAATTATTATATATACTTTATACTAATTAACTATATTATAATGAATCTATTGTTGTTCTAGGATAAATGTTGTTATAGTTCAGTCCATGGTTATAATAGTCAACTAGTACTGTTAGGAAAGAAGAGTGTTCATATTATAAGTATTAGAAGCTGGATTGAACGTCTTGATAGTTTAACTGATAAAGTAATAATCTTAATGTTTTTCATTTTTGTAATAAATTAAAATTTTCAAAATTGTTTATAGAAACTATTTAGTGATGCATTGCAATTAGGTGTGGATTTTTTGGAAGAAAGAGGAAAAGCTGTTCTTGGTCTTAGAGGTACACGAGCACATAGACATAAAATAGTTAAAGATAAGGTATATGTACTTTTTTATTTATTTATGTTCAGTTATTACTTTATTTAACTAATAAAATAAAAGGAGGTATTAATAATTACTGTAATATAACAATAATTAATAAGTAAAGTACAGTTGAACCTCATTTATCTGGACACCATTAGTCTGGACTTTGTTTAATCCGGACAGTAGTTTATTAATACATCCTATAATCAGAAAAATAATTGGAATATCTAGTTATTTTGTATTTTGTAGAGTTTTAAACTGACTTGCAATTATATCTTGCACCTATACTATTATATTAAATAACCTTTGTATTTCTTAAATCTATAATACACGTCCTTTTTTTCCTTGAACAGTGTTTAAATATGTACCTTGACGGCCCATTTCATTGGTTATTTTCTTTAATCAGAACTTTCATTAATTCGGACAACCTAGAGCCCCAATTAGTTCAGATTAATGAGGTTGTACTGTATATTTATAAGTTATATGTTAAACATCTTGTTTTATTAGGTTATAAACATTGTTGCTTTATACATTGATTCTATGGTAGATATGAATAACTCAATAAATTATAAGGAAGGCATTCCTATTGTATTTGACATAAGTGTACATCTACAAAAAACGTAAGTCACATGTAATGAAGATATAAAATATTTATAAATATATTCATGCAAACATTAATTAGTACATAATTTATATTACAATACTCTTAGAATAAAATTACCTATTTCTTGTTGTCTCCATCTTACAAATGTACAATATACCAAAAACTGTTTTGTGAGGGGAAAGAACTGAGAAAGGTACAGTCATAACTAAGAAATTAAATTTTCACCACATAAAAAGGAGAACATTGATTTTGCAATATCGTTTTTATTTTTTTGATATCCCTTTTAAGAAAAATGTTTATATTGTTTCAAAATCTATTATTATGTGTATTTCAAACTTCAATAAATTTCTTCCATATTGATATCGAAAAAATTAAAGTGATATTGCGCAGCCAAAGTTCTTCTTTTTATTTGGTGAACATTTTGTTTCTTAGTTATGACTTTAGCCTTCTCGGTTCGCGACCGCACCAAAAAGATTTTGCTATTCCGTACGTGTTACCATGCGGGTGTGACCTCCTCTTAAGTTTATTTTGAACAATAAAACATTAATTTATTAACTTTTTTTTTGTCATCAGAAGTCTATTGTTCAATCGCTTATGGGATGGAGTAGAGTTAATTGAATCTTCTTGCAACATTTATTTAGAATGTTTAAAGAACTATTTACTTGAAGGTCAATTTGATGAAGTACCAACAATCATAGTTCAAAAGTTATTTACATACCTTTCACATACTAATCAATTAGAGGTACTTAATTTCAAATTTATAATATTTTTTGAGCTTTGAATATAATTTCTTTTTAACAGGAACTTGAAAAATGTATTCTCAATGTTAAAGTTGAATGTTTAGACATAGAACAATCTTTAAACCTATCAAGAGTTCATGCATTGTATGATAGTCTCATAAGTATTTGGACAAGGGCATTAGAAGATTATTTAGCACCCTTACAAGAACTTATTCCTAAAATGGTTGTGTCGCCAAATGGAGGTAAATTGTAAATTAGTATCCAGTATTTTCAGTATACTAATAAATCTCAATATCTTAAATGAGACCAGTATTTATTTTATGTTTTTTTATACTTTCAGAGTATATAGGTAATACAATGAAACTTGGAAACAAAATTTTGATTTATTTAAGTGGGTGTTTACTTGGCATTGCATATCCTAATAGAGGTTATATTCCTCAACATTTACAAGATACAGTTAGGAATAATATTGTACAATTTTTGTGTTCTCATCACAGTATTAAAGCAAATGATGATGAAGATATATATCCATATCTCAGGTAAATATAATATATTTGTTATAAAATACTGCTGTATCATCTATAACAGTGGTTCTCAACCTATTTAAGTCCATAGTACTTTTACTTTATTTCAAATGAGAACGCACTAGGCGGCAGACGAAAAGCGGTGGAAATTCGCACAGGTCCCGACAGTTTCAGCTGCAATTATGAATTTTGTGGTAGAGGCGTGTTGCTGGCCGCCCCTGATAACTATGCACGATTTGGTGCATTCTCATTTTAAATAGAGTGTAGTACATACTTACATAAAATATATCTTATTTTCGTTAGCTTAATTTAGGAAATTATATAAATATATACATTATCAATTATACAGATTATTGACTTCAAAATTATTATGTTTATATCTACAGAATTTTGCTTAAGTTTAATACAACCGAGTTCCTAAACGTCTTTTCAATGGCATTTTCTGATAGTCGTTTTATGAGTCAACAAAAACAACGTATTTGTTGTATTTTAACATCACTTATAATGAACAGTAAAGATTTAAAAGTAAGAATTTGAATTGGTTGTTTTATATTTCAAATTAAATTTCATAAAACTATTTCTACATTTAGTCCAATCAGCTAGGCCTAGTTTACGCATTTATAGTACGTTGGCAGCAAGAAGATGGTAATTTTATAAAACCTGATAAACGTGTTTTTGAAACTATCACATCAATGTTGATATCAACGGAACAAACAACACCTATTGAAGATAGAGAAAAAGCATTTATACAATTAATACGCTCTGGAGCATTTGACAATAGTCCTGATTTGTTGAAAATTGCAGAAGAAGCAAAATTGTAAGTTGTAAATTGAAACCTGGGAAGTTGCTCTACAGTATAATAGTCTTATGAATTTACATTGCATATAATTTATTACTATATCATGAACCATTATTATTAATGTTTAGGTTTTAAGTTATTACTGACATACTGTATAATAGTAAAGAAGGTTCATGGTATGAAAAACTTAAAATCAGTCTAAATATTTTAAACATTTTTTTGTTGGTTTACAAAAAATAATAATATAATATGTTAACTTAATTGTAAAAAAGGTGGGCAAGTGGGTGTCGCTCTGCTGTACAGTAGGTTACAAGTGGGTCACTGTATAATGGATGGTATTAAATTTGAATTCAATGATATAATATCATTGTATAAGAAAAACGATTCTGAGCGGTGATGGTATGTCAGTCTATGTATAAGGCATATTATATACATATCTATGGTATTAAACAAAAAATTGACCTATAATAGGTACCTATAATAAATTCCAAATTAATCATATCACAATATCCATTAGATACTTATAACGCGTTATACATCAACAAAAACCGTGATACTATCATAGATATATAATAGTACACTTTAGAAGTTTCAAGTACCCACGAATAGTATTATTCAATCACAACAAAATAACTAAAATCGTAATTCTTGGTTTAAATATGAAATTTTGTCTAAATTTGAAATTAAAATGTCTGTAAAAAATAAGTGTGTTTATATATTTTTTAGATTTTTTGGTTACAGTATGAATTATTTAAGAGAATCTTTGTTTTAAATTTTCAACTCTTAGTTATAAAAACTGAACATTTTATAATTTTTTAATTCCAACGATTGATAATTTTCGAGATTTTGATAAATCTTGTCAAAATTCCAACTTTAAATGCTTATAAAAAAAAATCGTGCCTATGTATTTTTAATATTTTTCAACTGATATTGTAACAATATATCAGGAGCCTTGTATTAAATTTTTACACTTTTTGGCCCAACAGATAAAACTTTATTGATATTTATAGAAAAAAAAACTAAAAAAAAATGGAAAATGAAAATGTCCCTAAACAGTTCAAAATAAATCAAAATATTTTGAAAATGTTATCGTGTATAGAAAATGCAAATATTAACAACCAGTGAAATTTTCATGTATATACGTTCATTTGTTTTAGAGTTACACCAATAACCAAAATCGATTTTTTGGAAAACCAATTTTGCGTAAAAATTCCCGTTTTTCCTTAATTTTTGTGTTGTTTTTCCCGGCGCTTGTGAAAACTACTGCGAAATTTATACTTTTGACCCCCCCAAAGTACCAACTAGATTCACTTTCCTATCAGAAAAGCTACTGATGAAGAAAATCCAAGCACTTTTACTGTCCTAAAACGTGATGACAGACACAAAAATATATTTAAAAAGGTGGGCAAGTGGGTGTCGCTCTGCTGTACAGTAGGTTACAAGTGGGTCACTGTATAATGGATGATATTAAATTTGAATTCAACGATATAATATCATTGTATAAGAAAAACGATTCTGAGCGCAGACGGTATGTCAGTCTATGTATAAGACATATTATATACATATCTATGGTATTAAACAAAAAATTGACCTATAATGGGTACCTATAATAAATTCCAAATTAATCATATCAAAATATCCATTAGGTACTTATAACGCGTTATACATCAACAAAAACCGTGATACTATCATAGATATATAATAGTACACTTTAGAAGTTTCAAGTATCCACGAATAATATTATTCAATCACAACAAAATAACTAAAATAGTTATTCTAGGTTTTTTAATATGTAATTTCGTCCAAATTTGAATTTAAAATGTCTGTAAAAAATAACTGTGTTCATATATTTTTCAGATTTTTTGGTTACAGTATGAACTATTTACGAGAACCTTTGTGTTGAATTTGCAATCCTTAGCTATAAAAACTGAACATTTTATAATTTATTAATTACAATGATTGATAATTTTCGAGATTTTGATAAATTTTGTCAAAATTTGATCTTTAAATGCTTATAAAAAAAAACTGTGCCTATGTATTTTTAATATTTTTCAACTGATATTATAACAATATATCAGGAGCCTTGTATTAAATTTTTACACTTTTTGGCCCAACAGATAAAACTTTATTGATATTTATAGAAAAAAAAACTAAAAAAAATTGAAAGCTGTAAATGTCCATAAACAGCTCAAAAAGAGTCAAAATATTTTCAAAATTGTATGGTGTATAGAAAATGCTAATTTAAACATTCAGTGAAATTTTCATGTATCTACAGTTATTTGTTTTTGAATTACAACAAAATAAGGAAATCGCTACATGGGAAATCGAGTGAATATTCAATGTTGTAAAAATTTGAATTTCAAACGCTCATAAAAATTTAATTTGACTTTCTTATAAACATTTTTCTTTTGATAAAGGTAGACAAACTTATAAGGAATCTTGTGTTTAATTTTCAAATCTTAGATTTAAAAAGAAAAATTTTTACGAATTCTTAACTCAAAATAATTTGCTAATTTTCGTGATTTTCCCATATTTTGTCAATTTTTGAACTTTAAATGCTTATAAAAAAAAATTGTGACTAAGGATTTTTAATATTTTTCATCTGCCTTTGAAGCAATATATTAGGAGCCTTCTATTAAATTTTCAAGCTTTCGCAACCAACAAATAAAATTTTATTGATATTTTTAGAAAAAAAACTAAAAAAAAATGGAAAATGAAAATGTCCCTAAACAGTTCAAAATAAATCAAAATATTTTGAAAATGTTATCGTGTATAGAAAATGCAAATATAAACAACCAGTGAAAATTTCATGTATATACGTTCATTTTTTTCAGAGTTACACCAAAAACCAAAATCGATTTTTTGGAAAACCAATTTTGCGTAAAAATTCCCGTTTTTCCTTAATTTTTATGTTGTTTTTCCCGGCGCTTGTGAAAACTACTGGGAAATTTATACTTTTGACCCCCCAAAGTACCAACTAGATTCACTTTCCTATCAGAAAAGCTACTGATGAAGAAAATCCAAGCACTTTTACTGTCCTAAAACGTGATGACAGACACAAAAAAAATAAAAAAATAAAAAAAAAAATAAAAAAATACACATCATTGTAAAATCAATACATTCATCGTTTCACTCAGAATCTAAAATATAAAAATATAAAAATATAAAAACATACATCATTGTAAAACCAATACATTCATCGCTCCGCTCAGAATCTAAAATATAAAGGACAAGTATATTTTAAATTACAACATAATGCCTAAATCAACTGAGGAAAAATCGTAATTTTTTTGTTTAATTTACAAAAAAAACAATTGTCATAACATATATTATGTTTTTGATATTTTTAGAGATCTGTAAGATCAATTTATGAAGGCCCTTGTATTATATTTTCAACCTTAAACTATTAAAATTGAAAATGTTATGAATTTTTAACTGCAAAATAAAGAACATAATTTTGACAGAGTATTTTTTAATCAAATTTGAACTTGAAATACTTAAAAAAAAAATGTTACACTTATTTTAAATTTCTATGGGTAGAACCTACTAGAAAACTTGTAAAAAATGTTGAAGTATTTTGTCTTTGAAATTAAAATTTTACTTATTTATTTATCCCCTTTCTCATACCCCCCCCCCCCCCAAAGTACCAATCAGATCCAATTTGCCTAGGTTATTTATTGCTGTAGAAGCTGATGACTGATAAATTCAAAAATTACATTTCTTAAGAGGACACCACACCCGCATGTGTTGTCTCCGTCTTACAAATGTACAACATAGCAAAAACTCTTTTGCGAGGGACAACTTTTCTCGCACCATATTTGTTTTAGAACTACCAAATTTTCACAGCACTTAAAGAAGAACTTTATCTGTGCAACAGCGTGCTCTTTTTTTCAATAACATATATACAATACAAGTTATTTGCTTCTAAACATTTGGTTTTTTAATTTGCTTATAAAAAATGATTGGATGGTGCTATTGAAAAAAAGAGCACGCTGTTGCACAGATAAAGTTCTTCTTTGAGTGCTGTGAAAATTTGGTAGTTCTACAACAAATATGGTGCGAGAAAAGTTGTCCCTCGCAAAAGAGTTTTTGCTATGTTGTACATTTGTAAGACGGAGACAACACATGCGGGTGTGGCGTCCTCTTAATGATTCTAGTAGATTAAATTAAATATTTTTTTTTCAGTTATACAGTTTGCAGAGAAATTTGTTCAGAACGTGGAGAATTTAGTCAATTATTCAAATATTATATACTTGATGACTCAAACAAATATCAAATATTTTCACTTATCAGTTCTAAACCAGAATATTTTGAACAACTTTCTTATGATAATCTGAAGGTATTTTCTTCAATTTATGTTTAATATTGTGTGTTGGATTAGGTTATTGGCTATAATAGCCATGGTAAAAAGATTTTAGTTAAATTATTTTAACACGTTCAACGCCTCCCGTGATTTGAGAAACTACGGAAATAACACTAACTAATCACCCATGCCTTTAAATGTTTTAAAAAAAATCCGATTTAATAATAGCGTATATAAATGTAAACGTTTTTGACTTGTTAACGCGGCACCGGCCTATTGGAATAAACTCTGTTGAAGTGTTTTCCTCTTCAGCGGTGTTAAAAGTGTTAATCACCATAAATCCTTAGTTCTCTTATGTAATTAATGTTGTCTTATTGTATAGATTGGTTCAATAAATTGTATAGTACATGTTTAACGATAAACATAATTTAAAATTTGTCTACTCCAACCACAAACGACGCTATAATATGTCCGGGAAATTTATTAAATTCCATTCATACAATTCAGTAGCGGATCCAGAAGTCACCCACGGTGGGGGGGGGGGGTGAACTTTGTATAATGAATCGTAATAAAATATTGTTTAAAATAATTTAACTCATGATCGTCCAACATAATTACTCAGTACCTACTACTCTTTTATATCAAAAATCAATCAGATCTTAAGAAACTCTAGAAAAAATACCTTAACCTAAAAATATTTAGATTTACATATCTAGAAATATTTATTTTTATGTAAGTACTCTTTTTTATGTATATCATAAAAATAATATTGTTATACATAATTTCATAATTAATTAAGTATTTTTTAACACATTTTTTGTAGCTTAATTTAACTAGGATAATGTATAGAACCTATAGATTGAAAGTGACTAAGTGATTATTATAATAAATATTTGTTTTATATTTTATTTTTGTCAATTTTAACTATTTATAACTCAAATTTAATAAAAACTAATAATAAAAAGGTATAGGTTTTACTGGAAATAGATACAGTTCGATGTGGAGTAATATTTGGAACATTTTATCCACACCTGGTATATGATGTTTTTAATCAAATAAAAACAAATTATCAGAGATTCCTTTTTTTAAAAGGTGCAATGTAAGTAAAACATTTCATTATTATTTAAGTTATGTTATTTTTGAATGTCAAAATGATAATAAATAATGCTTAATTTACTAACACATTTATTCAATAATATTTTTAGACCATATGTAAATTCTGATGTGAAACTATGCACTCGTTATTTGGAACTGTTATGTCAACACGAACCAAATGCTGTGATGGATTTTGTAAAAATGAATGATTCATTACATTTAACAGAAGCAATGGCTGTAAGAATTATAATTGTATTATATTGGTTTTTTTTTGCATATTCTGTATTTTTGTTGTGTCTTAGGCAACAAAAACTGCAGGATTAGACAATGTCACAGCTATATTTCTGGAAAGATTAGGAGATTTTCAAGGAGCATTTGATTTACTGTTTAGTAAACTAAAAGAAGCCATTTTGCAGGTTTGTATTTTATTTTGTTTACATAGTTAGTCAGTGTAATTTTAAAATGTTTTTCTTAGGCAAATGCTGTTGAAGAATGCACTGAAGTTTTAGTGGCATTAGCTCAAAGAGGATCTGCTGTGCTTGATCCTAAAACTACATGGTTACCAATCTTACAGTGTCTTCTAAGTCTTCAATCCCATGGTATTTTAAATTTTAATGTTTTATCTCTTATTACATTTTACTTTATTTCATTTGGATTTTTTATTATTTAGATCATTTACAAAAAGTTTTGAATAATAGTGATCTTAATTTAGCCACTGAAATGCATTTGCTTTTAAATAGTACAACAATAGTTAAGGGTACTGTTGGACATTTCAGAAATCTTATAATGGGTGAGAAGCTGAGAGCATATTATTGTATTTTAAACATTTTAATAATACTGTTGTCTTAACATCTTAAATAATATTTAATTTTAAAGTATCTCATATAATATTACTTATAGATATTGTATACTATTTAATAATATAATTTAATTTAGGTTTAATTGATAAATGTCAGTATGAACAAGATGTATTAAAGTCCTTTGAAACATTGCTCCATGGGGATTTACACAGCAAGTTAGCTGAGGCAATAAATGTAGCCAAACAGGGAGTTAGTAATCCTATAATATGTTCATCATGTAATCAAAAAATTGTTATGGAACCAATGTTTGTTTTCAGGTGTGTATTTTCTTTGAATAATAATTAAGTATAATAGTTTGAAGTGTACATTATTTATATGTTATAAAATATAAATATAAGTTCAACATCTTATATTAAATTTAATCACCAGTCCCACTTTCGAGATTCCTCTAATTTTTTTAAACAACTTGCACAATATATTAATTTTCTATTAGGCTCTAAGATGACAACATGGGGATTAATTTGTTTAACTAGGGCTAAACATTAATAACCCTATTACAGTTAAATCACTTCACTGAGGTAGATCGATTTTATGAGCCCAAGTAAAATATGTTTAACACCACTGGTTGTCCTTGTCAAAAAATAGCTATTATTTGCTGGCTTGTTCATAATTAGATTAGTACATTATATGACATGGGTTGGCCAAGTTCTCAAGGCACTCAAAAATATTTTTTCAGTTTAATCTTGCTTCGAGAAAAAAAAATAGTAAACAATAGTATTAATTATTATTTCTAAAAATAAAGTTATCAATTATAAAAGTTTGGAACTCACTGCTTCCAGACATAATATTTTGAACTCGAAAAAAAGTGGCTTATTCCAAATAAACTCAATATTTGAGTCAACATGCATAGTACATACTACATAGGTACCTAATATGTGAGTTTATTCTTGACAATTATGAATGAATCATTTCAAATAAAAACATAGGAATAATATATTATTGTATGAATCAGAGGCTGCTAGTGGTTCATTAAAACATTTAATACTAACAAAATAGGTAAACAACTGATACTAAAATAATTTCAGTGAACTGTTTTAAAAACCTCTGCCGCTCTGAGAAAAAAATTGTTTGGTACCTATGAAAATATTATACTACTGGCATATGTATTTTTTTTTATGATTTGAATATAAAATGTTGGCACATGACCCAAAAAAGATTTGCCACCCATGTTGTATGATATTTTTTGCGGAAAGTATATTTATCGTGTTCAAATGTATCAGCCATTGAACAACATTTCTTCAGTTTAGGTCTTAAACTTTAGAACAGTAGAATGTAAAATTTGGTTAGGGTAATGAAATTGCCCTTACTCATAACTTCAAAGTATTCAATTCTATTATTGATTATACTATATACTCTATACTCAATGATAATATGCATACATTTATATATATTTTTTTTAATAGATGTGGTCATGGATTTCACTCTGATTGTTTGGGTTTGAATACAACTTGCACATACTGCATTTCAACTAATATACAATTGTAATATTCATTATTTACCTATTTTATATGTTAACCATTGTTAAATATTCATTACTTATTTATTTAATTATTTAAATATAGTCAATTAATAATATAATATCTATTGTTGTTTTATTATTTTTACACGTTCTGCACCTCAAACAAACTAAGTGTACACTGTTAGTTGCATCGAGTTTACAGTATTTTTAGATTCTGAGTGGAATGATGAATGTATTGAGATTTCACAATGATATATGTTTTTTTTTAAATTTTTTTTTGTGTCTGTCATCACGGTTTGGGGCAGTAAAACTGCTTCGATTTCCTTCAACAGTATCTTGTTCGGTGAGAAAGTGAATATAGTTGTTGCATTCGGGAGGTCAAATTTTAAAATTCACAATAGTTTTCACAAGCGCCGGGAAAAACAACATAAAAATTGAGGAAAAATTTGGAATCTTTACGCAAAATCGGCTTTTGGTGTAACTCTGAAACAAATGATCGTAAATACATGAAATTTTCACTGAATGTTAGCCTACATGAAAAAATTTTGACTTGTTTTAAGCTGTTTACGGATATACTCATTTTCGAACTTTTTTAGGTTTTTTTTCTATGAATGTCAATAAAACTTTATTTATTACGTTAGATAAAAAAGCTTGAAAATTTAATACAAAGCTCCTATTATGTTGTTACAATGACGTTTGAAAAATATTAAAAATCCTTAGTCACAGTTTTGTTTTATAAACATTTAAAGATAAAATATTGACAAAAATTCACACGAAATCTTGCAAATTAATTTTAGTTAGAAATTCCTAAAATTTTTCTTTTTAATCTAAAATTTGAAAATGTAATACAAGATTTTTCATAAGTTTGTCTACCTTTATCAAAAAAAAAAAATATCTACTGGAAACTGAAATTAAATTTTTATGAGCATTTTAAATTCATATTTTTACAAAATTTGTTATTCACTCGATTTCTCATGTAATAATTTTCTTATTTTGATATAATTCAAAAACAAATGACATGCGAATTTCACTGAATGTTTATTTTATCAATTCTTATTCTTGATAAAATTTTCAAAATATTTTGACGCTTTTTGAGCTGTTAATGGCATTGTCAGTTTTCAATATTTTAGATTCTGAGTGGAACGGTGGATGTAATGATTTTACAATGATGTGCGTTTTTTATTTTTTTTTTTTGTGTCTCATCACCTTTTAGGACAGTAAAAGTGCTTGGATTTTCTTCAACAGTATCTTTTCTGATAGAAAAGTGAATCTAGTTGGTACTTTGGGGGGGTCAAAAGTAAAAATTTCCCAGTAGTTTTCAAAAGCGACGCGAAGAACAAAAGAAAAATGAAGGAAAATTCCTGTGAACTATGATAGTATCACGGTTTGTTGTCGTTATAAGTACCTAATTGATATTGTGATATGATTAATTTGGAATTTATTATAGGTACCTTTTATGGGGCTAGGTAAATTGGGTCCGAGATAAGTTTGGTACATTTTTAAAGCTGTAAATCGAGCCTCGGGAAAAACAGGTAGTAGGTAAGTTGGGTCCCGCGAAAAAAAAATTAAGCTACTTTTTAAAAACATTATATTTGTATTATATAAATATATATATATTATGTGCTCGGTAAAAGTTTCATTGATATTGATTTAATTAACTCTATTGTATATAAGTATACTTAATTTATATTGATTAAAAATATTACAAATGCAATTAATTTCGTTATTTTATCGTTGGAAAAATAATTAATAATATTTTATAAATAATATTATTTTTTTTATTTTTTTAATTATTAGCCAGGACTTACTTTTTTTTTGCACAGGATCCAATTTACCTATTACCTTTTTTTCCCCGGGAACCAACTTAACTACCACCTTTTTTTCCCGGGGACTCTATTTACCGAGTAACGGTCATTTGGGACCCAATTTACCAATCCCACCAATTATTATAGATCAATTTTTTTATTAATACCATAGATATATATATAATATGTCTTAAACCTAGATTGACGTACCGTCTCCTCTCAGAATCGTTTTCCTTATATAATGATATTATACCATTGAATTCAAATTTAATACCATCCATTATACAGTGACCCACTTGTAACCTACTGTACAGCAGAGCACCTTTTTTTTGTTACAATTATAAATCATAATCATGTATGGGAGTTCTTACGAGAGGGGAGATATAGTGATCCCTTTATGATCCCTCCCAAGAACTCATATTTCATAACCATAAAAAACTGGTACTTTTGATGCTGGAGTTTTTTTGTGTACTTTGCGTGAGTGACAAATAATGTAACATTAATATATCAATCTACGAATTACCACCAGAAACTTTTTTTCTGTTTTAAATTGGTACCTGTGAACTTTTTGCTCTTCTAATACTCTTATAGTTCGTCGAAACTGGTGTTTGTCGCCTGTTAGTATCTTAATTTCACCATTAGCCATAGTTTTCTTTTGTTGCTCGTGTCCTTCAGCTTCTTCGAGTTTTAAATTATCATTAATTGTTCAAAATCATTTACACCACATACTGTTATTGGAGGTGGTTTATGGATTTTTACAGAAGTTTTCTCTACTTCTTTCGTCACTGATTGGTTTTTTTGGCAAGCTCAAAATTTCTTTGGAGCTCCAAGCGTTCATTTTAGAAATCTGAAGTTGTAATTTCTCATTGTTTAATTGCAATTCGGTTATTATATGTTTCAAGGATGCATTATCGTTTTGTATTTGTGTCCAACTGTGATATTATTTAGCAGATTTGATCCCATATCTGTATGCATTGTGTAATTCGGTCAGTTTGAGCGTGACCCACTTAAAATATATTAGTTTATAAAAAAAATCACCATCCGTCCGACAGGCCATGGTTTGCATTGTAAACATTAACAAAAAAATTGTAATAACTTAGCACTATTTCGCAAACTGCGAAAGCGAAACATAAGTGTTGTTTGTTCGGTGTGCAAAACGCAACTAATAAATAAAATATATAATATAAATAAAATAAAATATTATAGAATATAAATTATAAATAAAAATAAATATATGAATTCTGTAAATAAAAAAAAATTTTATAGGATATAAGTAAAATAAATACCGTTTACTTTATCTCAACCATGAACTAAGAAAATCTTCTTAGTTCATGATTTCAACGTCAAACTATGAAATGTAATCTTTTTTTTTGGATAGTTTGTACTTGTTGATTTAATGACCCATCAAACACCAATGTTTCAAGAGTCAACATTTTAAGTTATCGATATATTGATTGTCAATTTTTCGTACCAGACCCCTTTAAGCAATCACTCAAAAATAAAAAAATACCATTAAAATGTTTTAAAAATAATAAAAATGTTGGGTGGTAGCACTGTTTGAACTAAATTTTATACAGAATATTATTTTCATGAAATAGTCTTGTTTAACTTGTATAAATAATTATTTAAATGTTCATTATTAATTCTTTAAATTTTATTTGAGACAATATTATTGATACATGTTGAATAATTTATAATACAATACATACATACATAGTAATAAAAATACATTACTATGATATATTAACATTATAATATCATAAAGAACTAATTAAAAATACAATGTATACCTTAATATTTGAGGTAAAAATAAATTATAAATTACATATTTTAAATATATACTTAAACTATTAATTATACATACATATATGCATACAAAAATATAATGATAAAATAGAAAAGGTTGAACAGAAATCTTCTGATTACTTTTTTAATAGTAAACGTAAACTAAGAGATCTATAAATATTTGAGAAACAAATTTTTCATAAAAATTTTTATAGCCATGGGTACCATGCTGGATCCATTCGGCATAAATTGTCAACTGAAGATGCTGCACTTACAATTGTGCTTACCTTATTATCAGTACCATCAAAATTTGCTAGACTATTTAGTCTGTGCATTATGGAATTTACCGCTTTTGTGACCATGCTAATGATTATGTCACCAGATATTTCATCTCTATCAGTTGAAAGTTCATCTTCCAATTTCTAAAAGAATGCATAAACAATTATTATTATTTACATGACAAAATAATGGATATATTGATCTACTTTTTTATAAGAGGTGATCATTTCGTCTCTGAGTATAGCCCTAAGAATAGCTTGAACTTTGTTGTTAGGTTGATTAAAACACCGAGCTGTTGCCATAATACTCGCAGTAAGTGGGCCATTTTTACCGATATCAGTCATTAATTCAACAAAGTTGGGAGTTAATCTAAAGGGAACAGGCCGATTGGAAACTAGTTCACCTAAAATGTATATTCAATTAATTATATTAAATTTACAAATATTAATTAATGACAATAATAACCTTTTTTGTCGTCTACATCAAACTTGAAGTATGACGCATTGAGCAACCCAGAGTCTTGGTGTATATACATCATATCAGGATTAAGCCTGGTAAGATGTAATACATACTCAGCCAAACACGATAAAGATAATTGAAGTGTAAGCTAGATAAATAAATTATTATAAATTCATGAATTAAATAAGTATAAAAAAATGAATATTTAAAAAAAGTGTCTGTACCATTTTTCTAAATGTCCAATAATCTGTAGGTGAGGCATATGTCAGAGTTGCCCAATTTTTCAATATATGGCTTTGACAATAATTTTGTTGCACTTCTATAAATACATCCAAAAGCATTTGAATATTTGCTTGAGTTCCTTGATTCTAGAAAAAAAAAATAAGTTTGAAAAAAGTTAATCACCGTCAAATTAATAAGACGTACGTGCATTTTTTGTCTCTATTTTACAAGCGCATGATAATATAATAAATTTACATTTGGCAGTTCACGTAAATTCACTATGTTACATAACATAGAGAAAAAAATTTCTGATTTAATTGTTTTAAAATAATATATTACTTGAATATTAGCTAGGCGTTGATAATAATGTTCAATACAATCATCATAAGGTTGAGACGTGCTCCTTGACTTAAAAATATCAAGTAATGATAATGATGAAGGATTATCTTCAACAAGCCGTTGTTGTGGAGATACAG